TTTCACAACTTTTTTTCGGACCGAATATTTATTATTATATTTATTTAAATTAGGTCATACATATGTAGTCCGAGGCAGCACCTTTGCTCATTACTCTGTAGAGCTTTAGTGCTGTGACTGGTTTTAAATTTATAAACGTACAAACTACGTACATAGTTACAATGTACATACATACTACATAGACTATGTCATTATGGTATTTAAAAATAATTGGTATATTTACATAAATATGTACAAGTCTGGACTCCGAGAGAGTGGATGCTGGAGACTGGAGTTTCCGGTTTCGATGTTTCTGTCGACCAGACTTCCGTCCTGCCGGCTTCCTGTCTCGGTCTGATAATTAAAAAGAAAAGATATATATTTAATTATATAGTCATTGGACTCACGGGATCATTTTTTTTGGTTTCAAATGTTTTAATTGGGATACTTTTATCTCTCGCCGAGGAGCTTGCATGTGATATACAGCCCAGCTACTTGCCGCCTTGAAGTTGTGCCCCTGGCAGCCCTGGGTTTGCCCCTTTTGTATTCCTTTTTTTGTTTTCTTTTTTATTTAAATATATTTACGCCTTCGAATGTTTGTTTTTGTTTCTTTATTTTTATATTTAAAACAAAAAGATATAAATAAAAAGTTGAAAAAATCGAGAGAGAGAGAGAGCGTCTGAGAGAGAGGGACTGAGTGTTTTTGTTTCCTTTTTTATTTTAAAACAAAGAGAGAAAAGGGCTAAATATCATTTACTTCTAAATAGAATGGGGTGCCCTTTCTACAATTCTACATACGGACTATGTACGGACTATGGGTTCGCAACTTCACCGTTCGCGCCCACGGCCCAGCGCCTTGCCAAGTTGTCAACCGTGGAAGGTGCGTATGTAAGACCGTAGGGAGTAAAGACTAGCGACTCTCTCTCTTTTTTTAAAGATAGTATGTATTTAGTAGTAGAGAGAGAGACAGAGAATGAGACAGGGAGTACAATCAATACATAGTCTAAAGCAGTATGTAAGCAGGGGGGCAACCGACTAGCCGGAAGGCCGGCTCGCATCTCTACTCTCTACTAGAGGAGAGAGACCAGTGAGCAGGGAAGTTGTGAAATCAGATATGTAGATGCGAACTTGTTCCTGCGTGGGTTTATAGATTTTACTTTGTACAACTCGAGCAGCAATTCATGGTAGCATAGTATAAAAATTATGGTTAGTTGAGCTAGCTAGTGTAGATAGAGGCGTCGAGAGACAACCTGTTCCGTACACGGTGTTGTAATCAGTAAACTCAGAATCACCGAGTTCAAAAAAGATCTGTAGCATTCTTTTCGTCTCCTTTCTTTGCAACTGAGGGAGCGTCAGATTCGTTATATGGCATAGGCCATAATCCTATACACTATTGACTGTTGGAATAGAAATTGTGAATCAATCTCGACTGTGGCGCCTCCAGTGGCCCTAACGAAGCGGTTCACTTGCGCCAAAGAACACCAAAATTGTATCACAGTTTCGTATACGCCATATTAGGTCGTATATTAGTGACTGTGCCAAGCTTGTGTATGTGACCATCAGCCAGCAATTCTATATATAGCATAAGGTAAGTTAAAGGTCTTACCAGAAAGAACATGAAGGTCACAAAACAGACAGAATTCGTAAAAATCTGATTTGGGAGTGTGGCTTATCGAAGTTGTGTTTACAAGCTGAGGCTCCGCGCCCGAGCTAGCACCGTTCAAACTGTCATGACGTGAAGTGGAGTGCAAAGCCCGGTAACGTTTGTGGACAATGACAACTTTTGCTTGCCTGCATACCAATCGCACATCTGTCTGTGTCCGCCTCAAAATTCTTTTGACAGCATTCTCCGCTTTCACTATGTTGCTAAATCGTTTACAATAGTTGAATTTTGATTGCCAGTGTCTACGTGACTTGGTTGTCTATCATTTCGGAGAGGAATACACAACCATTCGGGATTTGCATATCCTTTTGGTTGACGATGTCCATTTGACAGCACCCAGGCGACTGCGTCCTTGTAGCCTAGCCTGAAAAGATCTTCAAATTCAGTAGCACTTCCAGGATATACAGCCCATTAAACGGACACGTATTGAGAAGGTCGTATATCCGCTCTAAAAATTATTATAAATATGAGGGCAGATAGATTGGTTGAGTTGTAAATGCAAAATACGAAAAGTAGGGCACTAATTAAATAGGGCATGATGAAAATAAAGAACAAAACTGAGGACCAAGATTAAAAGCGACACCGAGAATTTGTGTACAAAACATGAACACCTGTACACTATAGGAATCTCAAACTCATTTGAGTACATACCAATGGAAGTAGAAAGGGGAAATGGACACAGTGTTTTCATCTATCAATGGCTGGAAATCTGACAAACCCCCATCTGCGCATATTTGTCCATCCTGATATACGTTAAAAAGGTTTGTTGTAAGATTTACTGCATTCAACATACATGGAAGTCTTTAATATTTATGCAAACATTTTCAAAATGAAACTGCACCTTGCTGACAATTCACTGTTTCACAGACATTATCAGAGAATTCTCACATACATAGAAATACAGACTTACTAGTAAAAATGGAAATCCGGCAATAGGCGAGGCAGTGCAACTGGCCAACATGACATCTTTGAAGTGTTCGTAGTTTCTATACTTGGAGTAACGAAGAGTGTGACATCTCGGTAGGACTGTCACCACAACTTCCAGCTGTTCTGAGAGTTTCGATTGGTTAGATAAGAATCGTGCAGGACCGAGCATCTCATCAGCAATGTCCGTTTTATATTTCCGTAGCTGGAAAGGCGTACTGAGTAGTCCTGGCGACCGTACATCTTGTAAACACTTCCAATGCATACTCTTTGAGCCGAATCAAATCTACATCCAATATGATAGCAGCTGCAGTCAAAGCTCCCGCTGAACTTCCAACAAACTTAGCTCTTTTACTTACATCAAAGTGTTTCAAGGCGAGTGCGGTCTCGAATTGATACAAGGCAGCGAACGAAAAGCTCAGCTGTGAGTCCTGTTTCGTAGTATGAAATTGTTGAGGTTGCTGATCGGCAGTTTTAGAGATTAGAAATTATAATTACGTAAATATTGCAGGTAATTATGTGTAGGTTGCAACTTTTAGTTCGTTGGAACAGAGAATTGCTCAAAATCGTACATATACTTACCTTTGATACATCGTTGCGATCGGACATGATGATACAACCACACGCCAAATGGCCAATTACAGGGAATATTCTTCTATGTTTAAATTTATGCGACAATGCTATATGCTTTTATACTTCATAATTTATTGACAGATACTAGAAATAGCCGATACGACAATTATTGGTGCTGATGTTAACGATCGATAAAAAAATACATGACTTTGAATATGTAATATGTTTAGGATGCTATGTGATGTGCATCTTGTTTCCTTTCCAGTGTGATTGATATGATCTCTTGAATTGATACACGACAACGACGACATTCGAGCAAACGACTCGTTTGAGATCTGAGATTTGGGATCTGATATTTGAGATTTCAGATCACACTTTCGTCGTTAACAGTGTTGTCACTGTTGACTGTTGACTGTGCGACTTGCGAGTTTGTCGCCTTAGTGTTCACTATTGAGTGTTGACTCAGCAGTCAGCTGTTGTCAAGAATCAGGACTGTAACACGAAATGAAATGTGGGAGTATATAAATTGAAATTCGACTGGTCATGAATCATGATAGATATTCGTTTGTTAAAAAAAAGATCTCAAATCTTGATACAAGATGATACAAGAAGAGTGTTTTTACGTTTTTTTAAAAACAAACGAGATAAGCTAAATAAATATAAACATGCAAAAACGACATAGCCTCCTAAAATTGTACTTATCAGGAGGCGATGTAAACCGCATACATTGCTTCTGCTTCATTTTCTAGAAGGCTATGGCGTAGCCTCTTTTTTACTTAATAATCACATACGTGTAAATACTGTGTAAATACTACATAGCCAACACTTCCAGAGGGCCACGTGACACAATAAAACATGCGCGCCGCGCTAAAAATTCTGTTCGACAGTTCTAATATCATTCTGTTCAAAATGATTATCCTCGTTTCTCCGAATCATGAACAATTTTAATCTAAATAAACGCATATTGGACTACCCATGGAAAATTCTCGACCTACCTACATTTCTGCAAGTAAAACTTTTAAACCCTACACATGACTCGCAATTACGCCACTGCACCCTGCGGAAAGCTCTTGGTTTTTCCACTTTTCATCTACGTGCATCACTCCCATTGTTCTCCTCTGCGTCTTCATCCAGAGGCCGTGATTCGAAATTAAAGTCGACGATTCGAGCCTACTCACCGGGAGATGCTACCCTAACCCAATCCATACTGCTGATATGCAAGACTAAAACTCAGCAAATAGTCCACAGACTCGCCTGCATTGATCATCACTTCTGCGCGCCTAATTAAATTGTATGCTATTCAGCGACGCTTTAATGATCTGGAACAAGCGCAATGTGATCACTCGAAGGTAGTGTAGACGATGACAATAATGAATAGAAGATACAGGCACACGAGATAGATGGCATAAGCCATTTTCTTCGTGTGAAAGTACCGTAGCAACGGCACCGCCACTAGCGATGACACCATACTTAAAGCTACAAAAATCGCAGCGACGCTCGACTGCGTGTTGATTTGGAAGTAATACTCGTAATTGGGTGAACTCAAACACGTGGACACTAAACTGACACCCAGGCCCACACAGTCGTGAAACAAGGGTCCGCCAAAGATTGCACCCAATGCCATGGAGTACAAGCCTTTGCGAGCCACGGCCAGGGCACTCACCAGATCGCCTGTAGAATTACCGATCGCTAACACGGACAAACTCAGCACAGATGTGCTCAGATGCAGCGTCAGCCCCAACGCGGTTAGAATGGCCACCACCTCATTGCCTATGAGCGATATCCACGCGACCGAGGATAAGAAGCCTAGCAACGACAACACGGTGTTGATGTGGGTGGGTGGGGGTGGAGGATACATGCACACGTGCCTATCTTCCATACTACGCGCAGCCGTGGTCTGTTCTCGTGCCTGCCCTGTATAACCCGTAGAGTGGCTGGAGACTGACAGCAGATTGCTATTGTGTGGGGTGTGCGTGTTCCTTGTGGGGTACATACTATCGGCTGTGGTGGTGGCGAGTGCGCTTATAGCACGCTTACAATGGCATTCGACCCGCATACCTCTGCGCCGAGTAGATACGTACAGCCAGCCAGACACCAACGCCCCCACACCCACACATATCACACCCGTCGGAACCACACGCAATACCTTCGTGTGAACTAGGCCCCACGGCCCAAAGGACGCCACCCCCACTACCAGCGACATGCCGACGGGCGAGATGTACGACAGCACCTGCTTGGCACAGTTCCACCTCTGGTACTCCGTTGCTCCCTCGCTATCAACAAACACAATCCGCTCCGACGTCTCTGAGTCTGAGTCGCCATCACTGCCGTCTGCGGCCGCTTGGCCCACCCGACTATACGCGGCTGTGCTGGCGGATGTGTTGGTGTGAGTGTGGGTGTTAAGAGATGGCTCATGTGCAGTAGAGGTGTCGTCGTCGTCGTCGTCGTCGTCTTGAAAGTCGCAGTAGGGAATACTGAGCCACCGGATGAGCGTGAAGGGCATCTCCACCATCAGCTGCACTCTCTCGTAGTTGGGTGCCTCCAAACTAGGCCAGCACACCCCCGGCAACTGCACAAAAGACTCCATAAAGGGCCCCGCCCACACACTGGAAAGGCCCGACTCCAGCGCCTTGCCCATCATGATGGGTGACATGACGCGTTGTGGCGTGCGTGCCTCCTGTAGTCCATCTTCTTCCTGTATGTCTAGTACAGCGCGAGTGGTCGTGTCTCTAGTTGCGTGTCGATGTGGGCCCAGGCTTTGGGCTCTGGTCACAGGCAACGTAGTGTGGGTTGCAGCACCGGTGTGCCGTCGGTGTGCCGTGGGGGTGTGAGGGGTGGGCAGAGCAATGTGCACGAGTGTGTCTATGTCCTCAGCATAAAGCGACCGCGTCTTCCTCTCGGCGTGAGGTTTGTGGTACTGCTCGCTGGATGTCTCTGGCGATGCTACTCTGATGATTGGGATGCTGCGGTGTGTGTGCGCAGGTGGCCGTGAGTTCGTATGTGCATCCGATTCCTTTCGCTTCGGCAGATTAATCACCATCCGTGAATGCGCATTATCTGTGTACGCTGGTGCCTCTGAGGCTGACGGCACATCGCTGTCTGCTACCACCGCTCGTGGCTGTAACCGAGGTGTGTCGGCTGAATGGGCCATGAGAATATCGTCCACGTGCATGCGTAATAGGTTACTCTCCGTGGTGGAGGGCCCATCTCCATCCGCCCTGTCCTTCGAATTGATATCATCGCTGTGCAATTGATGTGTGTCAGATGCTACTACAGCCCACTGCCTGGTGCTTTGGTGTGTGACTCTGTGTTGCCATGGCAACGGTGACGTTACAGAAGATTCCGAGGCCTCCCTCCGTGACGCGTGACGTATGTCCTCCGCCTGAACATCCACCGGCGACAGATCCGACGAATCCGAGGAATGGGACAGGTTTTTAGGGTTCAGGGTTTTACTCTCTCTCGTCGCACGTGCGTGTTTGGGGGGGTAGGTGTGGTTCTTGCCCTTGTCCCTATACCTATTGTTATACAGGTGCTCTCCGCTGCGTCGGTGGTGCTGATATGGACTGGTGGTTGGCTCCAGCGTCATCTCTATGCCCACACCTGCCCACTCGCGTGCGTGGTCGTCTGTCGCGTTGTCCTGTGACGGCCAGTGCGACTGTGCATCGGGGGCTGACCTTTGCGTCTTCAGTACACTCCGATCGTACGGCGCAAGTGTCCTGTCAGGGTCACTGTTCCTCGTTTGTGGACTGCACCTGTCCATGTTATTCCGGGACCGGTTGTCCTCAAGCGCTGCGCTAGGCCACGTCACCTCATCATCGTCGAAGTGAATCAAATCCGAAGGAGAATGCGGTGCCTGGCCAGAGGGTGTGGGTGGGTGTGCCACAGACACTCCACCTGCGCTGGGCTGAGACGCGGGGCAGGACGCATACCGCTCCACCGCAATAGGGTCATGGCCCACCGCATCTCTAGGACAACGGTCCAGTCCACGGAACTGCCCTAACAACGTGTCAGTGGGCTGAAGGCTGGGGCTGTGCACGTGGCCACTACCACCACCAACCCTCGGCGCAAAGCCATCGCCCTCACAGTCGTCTGCGTAGAAGAAGTCCACGTCATCGTCCGAGTACAGGCCAGACGGGTTGTACACACCCACGCCCATATACGACCCCAACTCATCATCCGCACTATGCGACCGCTGTGAGTGTTCGCTGAACACCGAGTTTCTCCGCAGAGACACGGACAGGCGTTGCTGTATGAGCTGCTTGGCTATGCGACGGCTGCGACGCGACTGCCGGCACCAGTCAGTGGCCACCACAACCAACACGTACACCACGTACACACACAGCAGAGCCACGCCCTGTGAAAGACGCACACGCCCACGCAGGCCCATGACCAAGAGCGCACTCAGACCAGCCAGGTACGTCACCACATCACGCGAGAACGACCCCAGCGACACCCCCAGAAGACCCCCTCTGGTCGCTTGCTTGCCCACACCCCCTTCGCAATCGCTGTCGGTTTCAGAGTTGCTCATGTTGCCTAGCAACCGGTTCTCTTCGACGTCGTAGTGACCGATGTACACGGGCACTTCCGAACTCTGAACAAGCACTAGCGCCAGTCCAATGGTGGACACGAACAGGGTAGCACCAAACAAGCCACCAATCTGCATGTTAATGTCACCCTGCAACGAATGAGAAGACACTAATGAACTAATATCACTCTGCAACGAATGAATGAGAAGACACTAATGAATTATTATCACTCTGCAACGAATGAGAAGACACTAATGAATTAATGTCACCCTGCAACGAATGAGAAGACACTAATGAATTATTAGAGAAGACACTAATGAATTATT